GATATCGCGAAAAGAAAACCAAGTAAAAAACAAAAATTAAAATAAAAAGTTTTAAAATATTTTATTTATTCTTTATTTCGTTATAATTTTTCATAAATCGATTGATTCTATTTTCTAATTTTATATAGTTCACCCTTCGGCGTTTACGTTCTAACAAGTTTTAACCAAACGAATAACTAGTAACAACAACAACTAATAGAATGTCTGTTAAATTATAAATATTCAAACAGATGACCATTAAAACTCTCATAATGTTCTTAAGAGATTTTGTATTTTTATGCAATTTTCGGGATAAAATAACAAACCGGTACCAGACGCATGCTAGAAGTTAATATAAAAAATGCAAAAGGCAAACTATGAAAAGATTCTATTTGTTACAATATGCTTCTCACCCTGTACAGAGATACCATACAGCTGTTTACTTTTTACAAGAATTAACAAGATAATTTGTTGTGCGGAACTGTGAGGTTCCGCATATATCTTTCTGCCTTTTTTCTACCTGTATTAATAACAACATGTATAAAATGTGACTATCGTAGGTCCAGGTCCGCATTTGGTCCGGTTTCGTTTTTTGTCGGTTCCGCAACTGTCGTCTGTATTTCATTTTTAGAACCCCCCTAATTGCTTCTTACCTCTTCTTTTCCACAGTGCCCACCTGCCACGTTTCACACTCATATAGAGCTTTTAATAAGTTTTCCAGTTTCCTAATTAACAGATCTCAAGGACGAATGTGATTTATTTATATTTATTTTATATCTCTAACAGCCCTTGTGCTTTTTCTATTCTGAGTTACTTAACCCCCGAGATGTCGAACATCAGGGACTTCTTCTTGTTTATCGTCTCCTATTTTTGTATTAACTTTAACCCTACCTTTACATCACTTACTTACAAATCAATATTTTTTGTGGTAATCGTTAGAAATTTTATGTGTAAAATTCTTTTGTCTTTTTGCACTTCATATAACGAAAGATCTCGACAGCAGACAGCAATGAGGCGCCACCAGATGGATAAGTAAATGCGGATCCCTGTGAATTTCCCTAGCACCTTGCATTACAAGTCCCGCTAATAATCAGTAATTTAAGCACTTGCTGCAATTACACTAATTCAACAGAACCGTAATGATACCTTCTGTTGTTGATATCGCAATCTAGCATCTCCATACATTAAACATTGCTGCTGCTTCTCCATCCAAGTATGCTGGACGTTACGACCTTGAGCACATTTATACAGAACATTTAATTAGAAAGTGTAAACGGTTTTGAAAGTGGATACTAGTAACGTGAATGCAGAAACTAACACCGTCCTCAGAGTCATTATATTAAAGCAACATAGATGTTCTTTTGCTTATGTTCAATTTAGAATTTTTGCTGATTTGAATACATTTCTATATACAAAAACCGAAGCACTTTCTCGAAAAGTTAAACGAAGCACTTCACTATCTCATAGGCACCAGTTTTATAACTAACGCTTAATTATTAATTGTATCATTTTGCAATTTTGAAACAAAGCAGGGATTAAGCAATTAAAATAACGCTAAACATAACTATCAAATAAAATAATTAGAACAGAGGTCTATTTTATTGTAGCACAGTTAAACACATTGAAATGGAAGGCTTGAGAATGTAGAAAATACTTAAAATACTTGAGAGGTTAAAAGTCCATGAATAAGAAAAATGCCGAAGTTTATCTTCTAATATTTGGAGTTGTTCGACTAGTGTCCTTTGAAAAGGAAATTTCAATAAGCGTAGGTCTTAAATTAATGGTCATTTTGTGGTATATTTTGAAACTACAAGACGTAGAATTTGTACACATGTTTACCAAAGCGGTACGATTCAAATATTACCACAGGATCTGTTGAATACGTAAGTGATATGCCAATGATCTTTGACAGTCGACCCACAAAAATTATTACAAACGAAACATGTTAAACACATATCAAAGTTCAAAAAGTTTTGAAAGTAAAAGAGACAAGCAAAGAAAAAAGAGCAAATTCCAGTTTTACAGCTAAAATTTTAATTAAGAAATTAGAGTTGAAAAGGTATATCCCATTGCATCCAATACCTCCATATGCATAAAAGTGGTATTTTTGAATATCCATTTTCAGTTTAATATGGCATAGCTATGAGTAACCATCTCTGTACGTGTTTTGGTACCTTGACAGTGGGAGGACACCAACTAAATTTGCTAATTACTTATGCATACACAAATGTACAATACCAAACAACAAAAATGAACTGTTGTGTTAAACATGTAATTTTTACTAATAACTTCCTTGAATAAATTACACAGAAGAATTTCTATTAGTATTCACTTCGTTCGTGTTACCTTTCCCTTCCGTAACCTTATGGTCGTAAACAATCAAAGTATTGTTCGGTAAAGTTGGAACAGGTTAGGGTGCGACAGGTGCCTTTCTTTCGGTTTATAGCAAAATGAAACAAATAGAAAACAAACATTTGATTGATTTGGTTAACTATGGGCTGGATTTTGCTGTTTTACTTACTTATCGATGTCCCTTCAGACAAATATTTGAAAATGTACGGATTACTTCATTAGGATTTTTTATTAAAACACATTTGTCTTTACGTGAAATTGCTATGACAGATCGATATTCTCATTTTAATAGTAAATATATAGGCGAAAATTTGAATTTGAATGATGCACATAATGAATGATGCACATAAAACGTACATATAAATTTCTTTTTTTCTAATTTTGTAAGAAATGCCATTAAACAAGGTGGTATAAATTATGCATTGAAAAATAAATGGTTTAAGAAAAATATTACCAACAGGTTTCAGAGTTTTCAGTATAGCTACTATTAAAAGCTTCGTACTTCCCCAAACGTTATTTTTGTGAATCACTGTGTCTGTCGGAGAGTTTTGCGAATGACGCACCGACAAGTTTCGCCATCCGCAGAAGGCAAGTCCCCCAAGTGTCATCCTCTCGTTGTTGCAGGTAGTAGATTCGAGGGCTCGCAACGACGTGCACGGTGCCGTTCAACAACAAGCTAAACGACAACTGGAAGTTTTTGAATCGAACGTCCCCGGCGGACACCTCCAGGTCATCAAAACTCATACGGTGTCCAGCAGCCGGTGGACCAGCAACTCTTCTACAGGATCTGGTGGAGCAGGTGATGGTTGCCAACGAAATACCACCAATCCTGCTGCTGCTACGTCGGTCACGAACGGTCAAGATTTAGGACCGGATTTTGAGGATCTGAAGGTAACTAATTTAAGAAAAGAAATATTAATTTGTACTAATTTAGTTTTTTCAATTGTAAAGTAGCTTTTGTTCATAAATGAACAGTTTGCATGTCGAGGAATGTACCTAAGAGTACCTAAACTATATGAAGTTGCAAAAGTTTTTATCACCACGCTCATTTTATGTTAATTTTGATATTCTGTCTCGTTTTAAATGAACTTAATTCTGACACATGGGAATATACTTAATTGTTTATGTGCAATCACTTGCAACTAGTTTTTCTATTTTATACAATCTTATTACATGAACGTAATAAATAAGTTCAATCCAACTTGTATCTATATAAAGATCTATTATATAAAGTGTCTGATGTATTTATTTTTGAACAAAATTATAGATACTGCTCATTATAAGGGTAGTTATATATACATTTCTAGCTCACCCTGTATATAAAGTTTCCCGCGAGTAAAGAGAACTATTCTTCTGAATTTGTGTTGTGTGACCTTTACATGTCCATGGCAAAAAACAAATGAGGCTTATCATGACCACATTAACAATAAATTCTACGGAACATTGCTTTATTTAGGTTAATATATAACTGTGACCAGATTGTTTGATGTGTATTGTTCAGAATATTGTGATTGCCAAGAATACTCTTAAATTTTGTGAAAATTCTATTTTATTGAGTGAGTAAATCACATTAGTTTATTGTGTTTATAAATATTGAAATAGTAGATTATAGTTTCGCCTATAAAATCACGAAGAAAATTAAATTTTATATAGCATTACTTTATTAGATACCGTTAAAGTACCCAATAATTTATAGCTTAAAGTAATATTAACAGCTTAAAGGAAATTTATAAAAATCTTTTAAACGAGTTCTAGACTTTTGAAAAAAACAGAATTCAATGGTTCAAAATTTATTACAGTTGTCTCTTAATCCACTCGACGTGACCTCACAAAAATCAAAAGCATCTGTAGGTCGCAGCGTTGGAAGACGGCCGCCTTCACGACCCCGGGTACGTGAGGAAGCATTTTCCTCCTTCAACACGCACACCCAACATACAACGACATCAAATATTAACAACCCTCACGCAATTGCAGCCGTTAACCTTCACCGGGTGTCTCGTCTTTGCCATCAGATCCACGAGCACGCTGTGAAACAAGCTTTTGGGGAACGTCGCCACTATTTCAAATCAACGAAAGCTGTGATCAATAAGAAAGAAAAATTCGAAAAACCACCGATACACGAACGTGAGAGTGGAGATGGAGTCGAAATAATCGAAATCGAAAGTCCCAATACCTCCGACCTTGAAACTAACCATTCTAAACTAACACGTACTAAAAGCTCTAGTAGCGAAGACCTCCATTTAATTTCTTACGAAAACGATAAAAGTAATAAAAGTGTAGAAGATCTCGAGGACTTGGAACAACTCCAAAGCTGGCGCAGAACTTCCAAAATACGTCGATCTCTACAGTTCCCTAAGTCAAATAAACCGGCGTCTAATAAACCTCCCGATCTTCCTGAAAATACTGGAAGTGTTCGGAGGATTCGTGAAGACCTAGAGACTGGGAGACGACTGAATACTGCCCTCAGAGGAAATAGCATAAATTTAGAAGCACTAGATCAAATTTTACAATCGATATCCAGCTCTAGCAGTGTCCAGTCTGATAGAAGCGAGAAACAAGATACTCCCGAAAGTGAATCACAAATAGAGTCGAAGAAAGACAAAAGACACTCTTTTGTCACAGTGGAATCGCTTCAAGAAGTTAAAGGTCGCTTAAGGCGTACTAGCTGTCATACTGATGATATTTATAAAGATACAGACTGCCGAAATAGCAATATGATGGTCAGAAAAGAAGAAGAGACTGATGATGGTATTGGTGCAGAAGAGTATGGAACCAAAGGAGTAGCTAATAATAATAGTTCTTCTGGTACTAGTAGTGCCCGTGTTCGATCCTATGTCTACGGATTAGAGACAATGCTAAATAAAAAACCGATTTTAGGCACTGGAAGTCTAGAATCGCGAACATCTAAGCAAACTAATGCAAATTCCATCAATCGAAACGACGACTGGTATAATCGAAGAAAATCCTACGGTTTCGAAAAAGTTCATAACGAACCTGACACTAACAAATCCGTGTCTTTAAAGAATAAAAGTGTCATAGAGTCATCCACTGACAGTGGTATTTGCAAATCGAATGATACTATGAACCTACCGCCATTAATAAAAAGTAACGGTTTCAAGTCAACCGACAGTTCACCAGATGGTCACAGTAACACAAACGAAACACTAATGGAAAAGAACATAAATTATACAGATTATCCCCCCACTTCTTTAGGAAATGTAAAAAGATTCAGTTCAATATTTGAACAAAATAAAGACACATTTCAAAAAAGAAACGACGACAACACCAACTCTTGGAACAGAAACTTAATTCAAAAGTACAGAAACGATTTGGAAGGCACAACCGTAACTATTCCAATTAAATCAGAAAATTACAGGAGGCAATTATCGTCTGGAAGTGGAACGCCATCAGTAACAGTTAATTTCTCTTCGGATATTAAAAGACATTCAATAGCTGTCGATGAGATGAAATACGTTAATAACACGTTTAAAGTCAACGAAACAGCTGACGAAGTAACGGACGAGGATAATCCAAATTTCAACCGAAAACATAAAAAAGTAGAATTTTGTAAAACGGAAGTGCACTTTGCTCCAGATTCTGGAAAAATAAATATAATTGAGACCGACGAAAAGCCACCCCCAACTAATACATTCCGTAGGCGTCGTAGAAATTCAGGGAGTTCTTACGTAGAAATGATCGAGGAGTGCAATAAAAAAGGCGTACCCACATTACATTTTGGAGACAATTATGAAAAAGATGTCATACATAACCACATACAACCTCATACTCCAACAGAAAATACTGTCACCGTAACTACTAATGGAAATATTCAAGAATATTTCGAAATTAGCAACGAAGAAAAAGAAAATTCCGAAAGCGATTTACCAAAAGGTATTTTGAAAAATAAACCCATTAAACCAAAGCCTTACATACTTGGCGATATTGATAATTCTCTTCAAAACACTGCCTCTCCTAATAGTGAAATTTGGGGTGTTCGACTTAAACCGGTTAAAAAAGAGGAAGCCCCAATGTGGAAATCAACAGTCACGTTGAAAAACACGACGTTCGATAATAATGCTCAACCAAAAGGGAAAACTATGGTCACTAGATCTCCTAAAATCGAAAATCGGAATTATAATTCCTCAGAATTCAATGAAAATGTGGAAAAAATACGAATCATTTCTTCTGAGACGGAAGGAAACCAAAAAATTGAAAGCAAAGGATTTTCTACTAAAGTTAATATTGGAGGTAGTGATTTGACTTTTGTTCAAAACGCCATAGTTTACAATGGTTTCAATAACGAAACTCACCCATCATCATGGCCCAAACCTGAAGAAATCAATGAAAGTAAGTTTCGTTTCTTTTTCTTATGTTTGTTATAAAATGCATGCTTGTAGTACTTGATGTAGATGCTTTATATCAAACTATTACAATTTCTAATTCAAACGATCTCAATTGCTGTCTTGCAAGACTTTTACTCTAAATAGAAATTAATCGTTAGGCTTAAACCGTATTGAGGTTTCCCTATTTTATCCCTAATATCGAATAAGATTGCAAGTGTTAATTTGGTATGTATATTTTATGCCATTTTTTCGGACTTTATCGGACATCTTTACTTCGTATTGATTTACTTTATTCTTTGTCTAGAACACTCTACTTACTGCAAATGTACCTTTTTCTGTATGTGCATGACTGATATTAACGAAATGTAGAAAATAGTTGTTCGCATTGTTTTATTTTTGCACTACTAGTAAACTATAACGCTTTAAATATTGATGGCTTTTGTTTCTGACGAAACGTGTGGATTCCAGATATAAAAATGCAGACGTATAATAGAAGTCTAGTGGTGCGTATTGGACAGAACGACAAAACTACCTCACAACAACTATTTGACAAAGACTGTGATAATTCGAACAACAAAACGACTACAAAAATTACTATAGACCTTACACCTTCACCAACGACTGAAAAATCTTATGATTCTCTCAAAAAACTGCCAACAACTAGTATACAAGAGTTCAAGTCAACGTCCCTCATACTTAACACTTTTAAGACTGAAATTTGCAATAGAAACGATACTGTCCAAAGAATATCTGATGTAAAATCGAGCATTCCACAACAACTTGAAGCACTGAAGAAACTTTACGAAGAAGCCTTGAGCGATAGCGAAGCAGACAAAGAAGTTCAACTACTGATGGATCAAAATGGTTACGAATCCAATAAAGAAACCGATGGTGAATGTAATAGTATCGTGTCAGGAAGTTGGAGTAAACTCAGGGCGTACAAATTAATGAATCAGGAAAAGAATAGATCTCACTTAGCAATAAAATCAGAAAATGCACTTGTAGGAAAAGGTATATTTGTAGCTTAATATAGCCACTGCTTCTTCTAAAACAATCATTAAAAACAAAATAAAAAGATCACAATTAACACATCGTTCAGTATAAAGACAAAATAAGTTATTTCAGTATTTGTAATTATGTCAATACAAACTAATTTAATTTTAGGATTTATGTTATTGCAATACCTAAAACATTTATGCAAACTTATATCAAGTATCTTAAAAGCTCTAAGGAAGTAACTTTTCTCAGAAGTTATAAATAATTTCTAATTATTGAAGTGCTATGCCCATTTATCTGATAAAGTCATATTTTTAGATTCCAGATCTCATAATTCGATTGGTAGAATAGGATATAATCAAAGTAACACTCGTTTGCCTTCGAACAAGGAAAACGAATGTTCTGTTCCTCGTAACGTTCAAAAACAAGTTCCTCAACCATCTAATAATTACGAAAATAAGTCATTCTCAAATTCGAAACAATCACGAACATTAACAACTTCTCCTGACAGAAACAACTCAAATATGTCACCAACACTCAGAGGTAACGAAGAACATCATTACGAAACGTTAACAAAGTACAGAAAGTCCCGCTCTTCTAGTCAAGAAAGGATTTATGAAAACGACGTTCATAAAAATAATACTCGTTCTCAAAATAGAATAGATAGAAACGTAGCAGATAAAAATCGTGATAAACTGAGCCGATCTCCTTCTCCAAGTGCTCATACTTCTGTTAAAACTCCTCCTCCAATTGCGTGTGTAGTAAGAAATCTAAGAAAATCAGATATGAAATACTTTGGTCTAAAAGAATCTACACCTCCACCTATACCAGACAAATATTTAAAGAAGAAAAGTAATCAAGAATTTTTCCAAACAAATGTAAATAGACGCTTAATTCCATCCGAAAACACTCACAAAAATACGCATGAGAAATTGCAGCAGAAGAAAGAATCTCCTCAAACACATCGAGAAAAATCAGAAACCACGTCATCTTCGAAATATAAAATTTCTTCGCGAACCAAATCTCCTCAACGGCACGCCCAGAAAATCTCTTCTTCCCAACGTAAATCAGACAGCGGAAAACGCAGATCCCCTCTTCGAAAAAATTCGAGACCTGACTCTCCGATATATGAGAACATCGACGAAGTATTGGATAGTTCGAAAAACTATACAACTGATTTCGATAGCAGCATATTGGAAGAACTTACCAAAGCCGCTGATCAAATATTACAAGCTGTAAGTGATTATGCCGACGAAGAATCTTTCAGTAAGCTTCTATCCGATGAAGATGCTAATAATCGAGTAAAACCTGAAAAACTTGAAACCATATCCGAATCAAAATCGTGGCAACAACATTCCAAAACTAAAGGATCTCGTCAAAAAGAAATGAAAACTGTTAAGCGCACATCTTCGACTTCTTCGGTAGAAAGTACACATGAAATAAGAAGTGCATCGAACACAAGCAAGAGGATGACAGATAGTGATAGATATCGAAAAAAATCGACTGAATCGCCAGCTGTAAGAGCAGCGACAAAAGCCCGAAGATTGCAAAGGGCCAGTAGCAGAGAAGCATTACTGTTATCACATGGAAGCTCTTCTGAAGACTTACCGGTAAAGGACGAAACGCCTCTAAGAAAACCAAGAATTGTACGGAAAACCAAATGCACTCAGTTAAAAATAACAAATGGACCGGATATTCAGAAAAGATCAACAACCTCGGTAAAGAACTATGGAAACCGAATATGTGAAGATAAGTGAGTACCGAATGGTGACAAATTTTATAAATTGTATTTTATTCGTCAATATTCTTCTAGAGCTCCGGTGGCAGCTTTACCCGAAATAAGGCACAAAACTGCAATTTCAACGATTCGTAGTACCGCTGAGAAAATGGCAAGCAGAGAAAAGGCAAACAAACTAAAAACTGATGACCGAAAGAAATTGTCAACAACCTCATCAAAACGAGATAGTATTCCAGGTAATTAATAAAATGTTTAGCATTCGTAACCATTTAATTTTTTTATTCTTGTTATAAGTTGTAGCGTGGCCTAAATCAAATAAGGCAAAAGAGATTTCATCTAGTCATCGTATTTCGACAGCGTACGTACTGAAACATAGAGTAGAGAGTAGGGAAATTGATACCAATGTCTGTCCGTGTTTTCTTTCGTAGCTCTACGCTAGGTACTCGAAAAATGATTACATTGTCTAATAATTATCCTTTAAAACGTCAAAAACAGAATTTTTGGAAACTTTATTTTTGTCAGATACATAAGTAAAGTGGCAACAACATTTAATAAACTCTTAACATATTTTTCCATAATTGAATTTCCTATTCTTCGAAAATTTGAAGTTTAATAGTCTATTTTGTTCTGTTTATGACGATACCGACTGTAGAAAATTAAATTTAAATTAGGTATTGAATGTAATTTGCATGTCGCTTGGAACGACTTTAACATTCTAACACATAGTAGATTGATTTGGCTTTAATTATTGTTTCCGTATATACCTAGCGTAGCTAAAACATATTTTCAAATGATATCTAAAGTACCTATAATAGTTATACATTGCTAATTAAAATTAAATATATTAACTGCATTAATAATCAGTCAAAGGATGTGTGTAAAAGGCCTAATTTTAGCCTCAAAATAATGAAGAGTTGCCTATATTTCAAAAAGTAAGAATTAGTTTTCTGTGGGGTACTAATAAAAATTTAAACTTTTCTTATAAAAAAAATAACACTGTGAGGAAAAAATTATGATTCAATAATTTTTAAAAGCATTTGAAATTGGGTGAATATTAGGTAATGATTTTTTCAAAATTATAATTAAATTACTCTTGTTTACTTACAGAATATATATATCAAATACGTCGATATTTTTGCAATAAATTTATTCTTTATTTTGGGACAGAAATTTTTTCTTATTAATGCTCGTCCTTTTTACCTATCTCAGAAAACAAAAACAGGGTATTGAAATCTTTCGATTTAAATAAGTGAAACGGCTAAAACAAACTATTCTTTGAAAATAAATTCTATTTTGTTTTCAGGCAATATAAATACGAATTTATCCTGTGATTTGAAGGAAGAAGCTTCGGAGCTTTGTAGTGTTAAACATCTTAGAAACTTTTTTGATTCAAAATTTACTACTAAAGAATAATTTGATCATTATGAAAGAAACCAACATTCAAAATTTTTATTTGGCATCATCCCTAAAAATTTTTGAAAGCGTTGCCTGAAGAAAAGGCAGCAGAAGAAAATTATATTAAGGTAATCAAAAGTACCAAAATTTGTAAAATTCAGAATTGTTTATATTTTTCCAGAAAGTCGTATAACGTGAAATATGTGTATATTAAATCAATCAGTGCTGAATCAATAGAAGAAGAGTTTTTATACTGAAGGTGATGTAGATGATAAATAAAATAAATGGGTGATTTCAAAGTCAAAAAGATTATTGGTTTCTAATCGTATTTCACATTAAATAATTCCAAACGGATCAAAGAATCCTTCTAGCGATATCTAATAAAGCATAAAACATGGGATGCCAACTCTCAAATAATGGTCTTGACTTGGTCTTCCCCGTAGCAATGTGTTATTTCAGGGGTGGGTCGAGGAACAATTCTTGGTGGGGAAAAATTAAGTTTTCCTTTCATGTAGTTTCTTGAATGAGATCAATTAATAAGCCCCATAGTTCAAAATCCAATACTTCCAGATACAACTTTAAGACTTGAGTGCCATTTTTACATGTTTATTTTAGTTAAAAATTAATTTTTGTTTTTTATATTCAAGGGCAAATCCCACTCAACATTTTTAACACTACTAAGTCATAGAGCTTTTGGGAGGGGAAATTTTTTCTATTATCTCTCCCTTTGATTCGTCATTGGTTATTTGGTGAACACAAGGGGCGGCAATTCTTAAAACAGAAAAATAGACCCCATGACTGATATGATGGCTTATAATCTAACTGACTTTGAGTTTCCTATTTCAGTAGATCTACCAAAAGAATTATCTTTCTTTTTTTTTTAATTTTGTTGGAATAGAATATGTGTATTTTTGAAATAGGTTACTTACATATTTTCATTATATGTACGTAGGTACATAAATTCTAAACCAAAAACGAATAAGGGATGAAAGTTTAAAAATAAATTTAAAAAATATGATATTCACCTTTGTGTACAAGAAAACGTAATTAAAAAGTATTATACATATATTTATTTATCATTCCTTTCCCATAATTGCCTGCCATTTAATCTTATACTTGTATGTAATGCGAAATAATAAAACCAAACTAAGTAATAATATACATATAAATAAAGAATGATAGTTGTATTGTTTAATTTGATTTATAATTTTTCAGAAACATCAAAAAGTGTTCCCGAGGCGATAAAGCAACGAAATATTAAACAGAAAAATAAGAAGAGGTAGAAAAGTTTTAATCTCCGCAGTACTTGTCCCTTGTTTGCCAAATACTCAACTCCTTTATTGCTTGGTTTCTTTTAATTTTTTTACCAACTGTGTTTGTTTAGGTGTTGTAGTTTGTAAGTTCCTAATGCCTTTTGTTTAAATAAGAAATTAGATAATACTTATACATTCAGTTTTATGTAATAAGCAAATTTGCTGAATTCTAGTTACAGACTAATTATCATTTGTAACTATACATTTTAATATTAACAAAACGTAATGTGTGATTTGCTTTGGTTTTGTGATGAATAAAGAAGTAAACTATTATTAACATGAACAAATTTGGTTATTTTTTTAATGTTTGTTGTTATTAAATTATTTAATCAATAATTCTTTTTTAAATTAGCTTTTATAATTGAGTTAAAATAGGTTCTTTTTTATTTCCATTTTGCCACTTTATTTTAAATTCAAGGCTTGCTAACAGTCAAATAAAAACATAAGTGAAGCTAGGCAACCGAAAGAACAGCGAGATGACAGAATGATTTTGGTAACATAAGTTACAGAGTAATTTATTGGAAATAATGATTTTCGTATCATTCGTATTGGGAAATAATAATAAAAATGATAATAGAATTTTTGCAATGAGAAATAGATTAAATTTAGTTACTTTTAAATGCACATATTAATTACGATCTAAGTAATAAATTAAACTACAACTTGTGCTTCAGAGAACATTTATTATGAAATACCGATCGTTTCATTTTTTAATGCAACTATACATTTTATAAAAATTTTATACAAAACAATCATAAACCTTATTGTTACTTTTCATATGAATTACACGTATAAGATCAGAATTTATATATAAATACTGCTATAATAAAGTAATTGGCAATTTGTGAGTCACAATGACGTCATGGGACGAGAAATGACGTGAGTGCGGTCGGTATGTGACCTAAATGGGTTACGTCATCATCAAGTAGTTGAGGATATATTTCTTTATTTCGCTTCTAAACGGATGCAGTAATTTTATAAAAAAACTTTAGCGTTAAAAAAAGAAAAACGTTTATATATAATGCATCTAATAAAAAATTACCTACCTTATCGTTGATAATTATTGGCTTCTAAAAGTTTATACAAAGGATTTTTTTAGTACGTACTAAGTATAGTAAATTTGTAATGAATTTGATTTTTTTTTACGATTCGTTTATACTATATCTGTATATTTTAAAAATGGTTTGGAAATATTACTTTATATTTAACATTTATCGATGAAGGTCTCAATATTCTTATTGCGCGTTAAAAAGTTTAATTTTTCAAGAGAATAGGTAAAAGCAAATGGTGTGCGGTTTATTCAAAATGGATAAATTATGTACTCAAAATTGCAATTGTATAATGCGCAGTTACCTTTAAAATAAAAAAAATTGAACAAAAACAAATATTGCTACTGTGGGTTTTTACTGAAATAATCATTTAAAAATAAATAGATATCTTTTTCTTGCGTGTAAAACTAAAATATTATGACCAATATTCTTTCGCGTTTACAGCAATAACAAATGTTTAAAATAAATAATTTTGTTTTACATACTTTTACCGAGTTGTGGGGAGTTTAATCGAGAAACTAGGAGCGGCGCGGGTGATGCGGGGCAAGAAGGGAGAAGCAACTCGCGCTATATGCCGCCATTGCTATGACGCTTACTTCGTTTGTGTTCTCGTCCAGTGACGACCGCCCAGAAATTTTGACGTGGCTACTACGTATAGCCCTATTACCCACTCCGAAAGCAGCGAAGCTGGTGACGAGAAATACGTAACTGGTAAGTACTCAGCTGAAGAATAACAATCAGACGTGGACCAGATTATACCCTTTGAGGAGGGTAGTGAACGAAAAATTAATAACGGGCTTGTGCTGAATCGAAAATGTCGCCTGTGTGTTCTTCCAGTTTACTGCGAAAGGTAGTGAAATATGGCGTCATTGAGTAGTTATGTGTTTTAAATTTAGATTTCACTCACATATCGCATACATTTCTAGAACAGGAATATTTTTGTCAATTTTAGTGATAATAATGTAGTGAATCCTCCTTGAATGCTAGTACGTAATCGATATATTGCTGCAATGTCACTTGTTAAAGGTTACATCAGAACGTATCTTAGCGGAGTTGATTAATATATTTTTATTTGTAGTATTAAAGTAATCAAAATTTTGTTCGAATTACCTTCACCGAATTTCATGCAGAATCAATTACAATATGATTACAATGCGCTTTGACAAACATTACGACAATTTAATTGCTAATATTTAGATTTCTCATACAACAAAATAAGTTGTAAGAATGTTGACAATTTTAATTGCCAGGATTCTGCTTATCACGAAGCTCTGTATTCTAAAAATAAAATATAACTACCTATTTGCAGAAGTCAGCAGTTTTTGAAACTTAATGTAATAATATGGAAACAAAAATTACAAAAGTTTTTTTAGTATTATCATTATTTAAACTAATAAAATACATTAGATAGTCAATTTTCGTTAGCTTTTATGGCTTTTCAATAATTACAGTTTCTTGTTCTTATTGAGACAAATATTTATAATTAGTAATAATGAATAGAGTAAGTCAACTTTGAAATAAATTAGTGTCAGTGCTTACTTATTTAATGATATAAAACTGTCAAAGTAAATCTGATTTTGTGTGCAATAAAATTTGAATTTTTAGAGAATGTATACCTACACATAATTTAAGATCAAGGAACGTAGCAGTTGTAAATGAAAGTTGTTATTTCAGGTGCCATTTTCCCTGAATGATGGAAGGGATGGTGGAAGAAAATGGTACAGTTGATCCTCTGGCTCCATCTCCGGATCCACCTCTGTCTATAGCTTCCTCGGTAGGGGTCACTAACTCTCAGCCTCATCTGGTGGCAGCTACTAACATTGTTCAACTTACATTACCTACCCACACTCAGGCACAGGTAGGGGTTTGGCCCCTCTGTGCATGATTTCATAGTTATTATCATTAATCATCCTTACTACCCCTGCTTTGTTAGCACTTTTTCTATTATATTTCGTCCTTATTATAATTCTAAAATCATCTGAAGGACCACAATCATTTTTACTATTGTTTTAACCCTTCGTTGAGCATGTGGGGTACCCATGGTCACATTCAGTTTGTGTTTTTATAAAACCTAGTATAGGTTTACAATTTTGGATAATCTTATGGAACTTTATCAGTTCTATGTGTATGTGTTAAAAAGCAGTTTACATTTTTTCAATAAAAGTAGACATAAGTAGAAAAAGATGCAGCAAACGTCGGAATGTATGAATTATTAGACAACAGTACGTATTTGATAGAAAATCATTATAATATATGATGATTTTTCAATAAATATTAATGTTATTAATGTGAATAGATACGTTTTTATGTTTTATATGTGTATAGAAAACGCCTTGATATGATCAGAGTTAATCCACGCGTGTAATTAGGTGATTTAAATTGGGCGCGATCAACTAAGGGTTAAAGTAATATAGACTACTTTATTTTTGGTCCTTCTGAGGAGCATTAGTTTGCGTATTTATTTCTTATTTATATTCTTATTCTTGAAGTGTCAAAATACAGAAAAGGCACCAAAATCAACTAAAACAAAATTCTTCAACACTATTCTGCCTACATAATAAGATTGTATTAGAAAATATGGTACATTTACATTTGGCCTTGAGTGTTAACGACGATAACATTCCTCAAAAAAGATTATGAGAATTTAATTGCTACTTAAATTATTTCTATAATTTTTTATGTATTTGAGTTTTTTCTTTTATTTTCATATAAAATTGCAATTATAAAAAAAGAATTTACTCCTTACACTTTGTGCAGTAACATACCCATATAATAAATTATATTAGTGGCACTATGTTACTATTTTGTTTATTTAATGAGCTTTTAACGCATTTTAAATTATCAACCTTTTAGTACTTAGCACCATGCTTTTTATAAATAGTACACTAAAATTTCATTAACTGCAATCTAATGACTCAGTAGTGCAATGTTTGTGAAACATCTTTACTGTAACACAAAAGTGTAATAAACGCGAATGTTTCACCAATTTTTATTAGACCATTTCGCAATATATTGTTTCGATCACCAGCGATTATTATCGAAAGAATTTTTCATAATAATCGCTGTCGATCGAAACTGTTATTGTCAAGAAGTCAAATATACATTGGTGAAGCATTCCTGTTTAATTCCACTTTTATTGTAGTCAAATGCATTAGAAAGTTAATATTGAAGTAACATAAAATAAATCTAATTTTTTATATGTATATTTCAAACATATTCAGTTTTTGGTATTCTTAAAATGCCATGTTGTACTTTTATCGTAAAAATAATTTTATGTACATTTAATTGTGTAATAACATGATTGTTTTTGTGCCCGTAGTTTCTGTTTACTAAGAGGCCATGCATGACATCTACTAGTTTTTCTACAACTGTCATTTTCATTTCATCACAAGCATGTAAAAAAACTTGTCCTTAAATAGCGTTGACTTAACATTTGCCAAGTAGAAAAAGAAAACTCGTTCTAAATTTGCATGAGTAGCAAATAATAAAAATATACAATTTAAATCAGCCTGCATTCTAATTTTGGACCGTTTTATAGGTCCAGTCAGTCATACAACCCAACCAACAGTCAGTTATTCAAACAGCAGCTAATCTACAGCCTATGCTGAGCAAAGGCAACGTTATACTAGTTAGTAAACCTAATTCTGTCATACAAACAACACAAGGAAGTTTGCAGGCTCTCCAGGTAAGATTAGCTGCTCAAAAGTCAATTTATAATAAGCTCAATTATGCATGATTAGATTAAAGGACATTGAAATTAAGCATTGGCATTCCTCATTTCATCCTGATCAATTTCAAATTTTGATTACTCAATTGCCTTTCATTAAAAAAAAGTAATAATTTGGTCAGTATCATGTAACAAGTTTGTACATATCAATATAATAAATTTTATATACTTAACTTTCTTATACATTTTAAATTTGCAACAGGTAAACTCCAAATTTTAATTAAATAGTAGAAACCAAAATAAGTTTTGAATCAGTATTCTTTGCTTGTTTAATTATTGTTGTTAATGATGCCTTAGGTGGTGGAAGCTCAAAGTGATGAAAGCATTTCGGATGATGAATCGCTAAAGAAGCGAAGGGATCTGTTGACGAGGCGTCCGTCATATAGGAAAATTTTAAACGAACTTGGAGGGGGTGAGATTGCTGGTATGTTTTTTTATGCATGCAAAGGGGTCCTATAGATTTCGTGTATAATAAAAAAATGATATTCCAGGTTTTATCTTTTTCCTTTTTTTATTTTTTAGATTTTATGATAGTTGCGAGAGATGTTATCGGTAGAGTACGTAAATTTATTTGATTCCCAATTTTATTTTTAGACGTTTAGATACATAAAGTTAATGTGATTCGTTTCTTTCTTGTGATTTTGCATGGCAATAGGCTTTCTAAAGGGTGCAGTAATTATTGCTCTATACATGGTGGCGTTTCAGTAGATTTTTTTAATAATTTTCTGCTTTATATTCTGTTTTATGTAAAAATAGGCTGGCATGTATAAAGCAAGATGTAATTTTACACATTAACACAAAACACTAATATTATTATTTATTGCTTTTTATAAGGCCCATTGTTTTGTTATTTTTTTTTATTTGTCAATAAGATGAAAAGAAAAATATATGAAGTTTGGGCTAATGAGAAAGGTAATTTGGCTTTTCTTGGTTTATTTTTTAATATCTAAATTAAGAGAAAATTATTAGTACGAGAATTTATGGAAAAAAATAAGACATTCTCTAGTAAATTTTCTGTTGCAGCCAATTAGTACCTATTTGTAGTAGATATAAGTACATTCTTATATCTAATTACAGTAAATTTGTTAGTTGTATATTTTGCTAGCATAAAACTTCGTAGAAAGACAAAACACTATATTATGTAATTATATTTTTCTTTGATATCTTTTCCTTTCCTTCCGTAAATTCTCCATATGGATTTTTCCAAATTTTCTTAATATAATTTCAGTAGCAAAGTCATAAAGAAACTTCTAATGTCTGTGGTATGGGATTCAAAGAGAAACAATGGGCAAATTCTTACAATTAGTTGTTAGTGGACAGTTCAGTTTAGCTTTGGTCGGGGAACTGTTTTGTGGCAACTGACTAAGAAAAAATTTTAACAATGTTCACAGAAGGCAAGATTGAGCAGACTTCTTCCGAAGCGGATAGTGAATTGTCCTCACACTCAATCCCATACCACACAGGTTAGTTAAAAAGAAACGAATGAAACAAAAGTAGCTTAAACAATATACATATTAACACTTAACCCATTGTCCTAGAACAGCTTACAATCACTAATCATTTACTAACGTTAATAATGGGAGTACCATTTCATATCAATAATAAATTTAGTTTACATATCCCTAAGGTGGTTGACACCATAGAAATGTAGCAAGATTTCTATGAAACTGAAAATAACAAGATATTTATATTTAACAAATCCCTGCATTAAATATTAAGATAACGAAAGTGATGTTAAATAAACAAATGAATATTCATTCTTTATTTTACAACCAAATTTTCAGAATGATCTGCATTTAAAATGGTAAATGTGTGAATAAAGACAGTGTAAATGAGAAAGAGAAATGTATGAATATACGGAGTCGTTTTCTGCGCATCCTATAGTGTCAACATCTTCGAGATTTTTATCAATTATTTTTTCATTTATTTCATTTTAATGTTTGCGCTAATATAACATCAATTCTCCCATTATTTTTGTATGATTAATATCCAATTAGGTTCTGAAATTACAGTGAAAACAATTTCCTATATTTTTATTATAAATAACGTGGTGTACAAAAACATACATGTAAATGCTGAAAATTCTTAAAATGGGAACATTTTTTAACATAATTTTTTAACTTGTTTATATATAATAATAACAATAACTCTACATAAGTTGTAAGAAGAGGAAATGTATTTTTATAAATTGTTTTGATAAAATTGGGCAATTTTAATGTTCTTTTTTTTTCATGTTTTAGTCATTCCAGCAGGTGCTATTCAAATTTCTAGTGGTGAGGGAGGACAAGGAATCCACACGTTAACAATGACGAATTCGACGACAGGAGGTGCAATAGTTCAATATGGACAGGGAGGTCAAGAGTTCTTTGTACCAGGTAAATTAGCAAAAAAGTACTTTAAGAATTATTAAAGCATTGTAAGATACTACGGATCTAGTTAAAAGTAAATATTTATGGATTATTTGAAACTTACTGGTTTTTTTTTGGTTTAGTTGTTACTCAGGGTGGTAACTTAGGCGGGGGTGGTAATGAAGATCAGGCACGGAAACGTGAAATGCGCCTGCTAAAAAATCGAGAAGCCGCGAGGGAATGTAGGCGGAAGAAGAAGGAATATATTAAGTGCCTAGAAAATCGCGTTGCGGTTCTTGAAAATCAAAACAAAGCCCTTATTGACGAATTAAAATCGTTAAAGGAACTTTATTGTCAGCAAAAAGGGGACTGAGGAAAGGTGTGACTTATTTTTTTCAATACGGTGTTGGATACTTTTGCTATAAATATTTTTGGGATGGCCTCTGTCGGTTATGGACATTGTGCAATATCCTTATAGGTGATCTGTTTGTCGTGAAAACAAACAGGAATATAAAATTGTTTCTTTTTTTCTTTCTCTATCTCTCTTTATGCATTTAAAGTGGTTGGTGAATTGAAATCTGTATATAAATATACATATATTTGTTGACTTCTCCAAACTGCTACTACCAGGATCTTAAAGTTAAATATGTAATTCTACCTTTAATTTGATTCCATTGAAGCAGAAGGATCTGTAAACTCAGTCAAGGCTGTTCTTAAAAGTTTCAACAATTTAGTATGCTACAACATTGAAACTGTTTTTAGCAGCTAGCTTTATTACCACAGATATCCATAAAGCAAAATATTTTATTCTTTAAAATTTAAATTATTCATTGTATTTAATCAATGAAAGAAATAGATGTAAATTTTTGGTAATTGTTAACTTCGAAGTTAATAAATAATTTATGTAACAATAGGGACATGATGGAAAGGCTTGTGACACTTAAACACTAAGAGAGCCAAGTGTAAATATAATGTAAATTGGTTTATTTTTCTTAAAGATAGTAGAGCAATTAGATATTTATTAGAATGAACCTGAAGGAGTGCCTTGTTAGTAAACTAAGCAGTTATTACGATTTTTTTGTGCCCCGACATATTGTTTCACTCGTAAAACATTTATTTTTATTTTATGGGAAAGTCATGCAGTTTGCGCAATGGTAGTTTCGTTTTTGGTATGATATAATCATTTGAGGAATTACGTTTATTTAAAGGCCCTAATTAACAATTTTATTCTTCATGCATTATTAGATTTCTAATATTTTTTAGTTAAAATTGTTTTTGTTTATATTTAAGCAGAGAAAAGAATAATAAATGTTAACGAGCGTTACAAGATGAATTCTAAGTCAATTTTTGTTTGTTTTTTTTGTTATTATGTTATTTCCCAGATAATATTGTCGGCATTATGTTACTCAATTGTAGGTATTTTATGTCTGTAAATATTGTATGTAACCGTATTTTTACATATCAGAGAGATATTTTCAGAATGTAAATTTTGTTTTCTACATTAATTGCTAAAGCAGAAAATGTTGTTATTAGTGGTTTGTCGATAATTAATTTAAAATTATAGCGAATCGAAGGGAAGATAACACACTTTGTCCTTTTAAAGATTCACAATTTCAGACAATGGAAGCAAATTGTAATTTTAATGTATTATAATTATCTTCATCTTCATTATTTCAATTAAACGTAAATTACGCAAGCAGCATCTGGAAAATGTGATCAGTTTTTGTACATAATTAATTCTGCTTGCTTAATTTTATATGAAAAATTTTGACCACGCTCTAATTATCGATAAAACTCTCATTTAATTAATTTGTTCTTTGTAAATATACGAAAATAGGTGTTAAAATTCTTACAATTAGTTGTTAGTGGACAGTTCAGTTTAGCTTTGGTCGGGGAACTGTTTTGTGGCAACTGACTAAGAAAAAATTTTAACAATGTTCACAGAAGGCAAGATTGAGCAGACTTCTTCCGAAGCGGATAGTGAATTGTCCTCACACTCAATCCCATACCACACAGGTTAGTTAAAAAGAAACGAATGAAACAAAAGTAGCTTAAACAATATACATATTAACACTTAACCCATTGTCCTAGAACAGCTNATGATTTTTTGGGGTTGTAGAAGTCTAAATATGTCTGAAATGTGGTGTAGAGTATGTGCCTTATTTTTTAATAAGTAATACAATTATTGAATGTTTAAAATTAATAAAACTTAAAAATTTCATTAAACATTAAATATTTGCATCTTTTTTATCGGTTCAAATAAACAATTTCACCATAGTAAATTGATTATAAGGTAAATCCTGGAAATTTTGCATTCATAGGGTCTTGTATATCAATTAAAAAGTACATTGGACCGGCAATACCCTCAAAAAGTGATAAAGGTCTATCAGGGGAATGATACTCATTTTCTTTGCGATAATTCATGCACCATTCAGCAAACTTTGCAGCCCTGTAAAGATATTTTGGATCCTGCAATATAAAATGTTTTTTTATTTTCTAATATCAATTTCTGAAGTTCTGAAACCTTTGTTGTTTGAAATAATTCTAAGAAAGCGTAACCATTCCCTGAAACCCCATGACAAATGCTGTAGCCTTTCTGCAATAGTCCTCTTTCCCAAACTATTTCACCTGCTTCAATAGCCAATTTTAAATATTTTTCTTCACCAAATACCTGCAAAACAGTTCGTGCAATCCAGTTACTCACTAAATCAATTATAATAAAAGGTAATACTTTATATGCTTCAGAAAAAAGAAAGACAAAACCTGGTGCTCCATGACACCACTGTACTTTGTCCGTATTACTCTTCCATGATGACGGATAATTTCCATTAGCAAATCTAAAAAATTGATCAAAGCATGTTTTTAAGTAAAACTATTCAAAATAAACGTGGAAATAATTGCCTGGTTGTCGTTAAAAATTCTATTGTCGGTTTTATTAAATCATTGAGTTCAGATTCAGTTAGATATTGCTTTGCTTGCAAAAGCAAATACAGAATTCCAGCAACACCATGAGCAGCTCCCAAGTAATATTTTCCATGCCACTCATACATAAGAGGGCATTTAAATTTTCCAGCTTTTGCCTCCTTTTGGCCAATGAATAGCATAGCTTCAATTACCTAAAATATTATTTATAGACTGCTTAAATCTAAACAAAAATTACAATTAAATATACTTGGGTTACCTGCCTCTGAAGCTTTAAATGTGAAGTTACTCAAAAAAAAATATCTTCAAAATACAAGGCTTATAGATGCATAAGGCAGATATCCCATGTGACCTTTTATTAGTCTTACCTTTTGAATTACATTTTCAGGTATTGGAGAAGGGTCAATGTTTTTATTAACAAACAAGAGGCTAAAGAGATAGCCAGCTCTTCCATATAAGTACTCATTAGGAAGATCAGATTCAGGATCAACTGCTTCTTCTTGCAAAGATAACAATCTACAAAAATTAATTTATTACCAAATAGCTATTTTTCTGTTTTCTATTAAAATTAACCTTCGAAGGCAATCATTTCGATTTTCTATCTCACCCAATCTATCACATGCTATAGCTCCTATTGCAAGGGGGCCAGCATCTCCACATAGAAAGGTATGTCTTCGTTTCTTTAATTTTGGCAGAGAACATAAGCGTTTCACTTCCTACAGAAACCTCTAATTTATATATGATTGAACAATATCTACTCAAGAATACCTTCAAGTTTGGCTTATTAAATGGTTCTTTAAGCAACCGTAGAAGTGCAATTCCTGTGCTTCCAGTGTAAATAGAATAATCACTTAGTTCAATTTCTTTTAATCTCAAACTCGTTGTTTCCCATTTTGAGTTCAATCCAAGAACAATACTAGTATTTCTATTTAACTGATATTAAAAATAAAAATAAAATATATTTGGATCCATAGTAAACATTTTTATACATGNAATTACAATATGATTACAATGCGCTTTGACAAACATTACGACAATTTAATTGCTAATATTTAGATTTCTCATACAACAAAATAAGTTGTAAGAATGTTGACAATTTTAATTGCCAGGATTCTGCTTATCACGAAGCTCTGTATTCTAAAAATAAAATATATTTGGATCCATAGTAAACATTTTTATACATGGTTATTAATTTCAATACTTACCAGAGACTTTTCTGAAATGAGTGTATTATTTGGAGAATAATCAGGAAAATTATTCGGAAAATGACCTACTATATGAGACATTTTTTTCCTCTGAGAATTTTTGAAAGAAATTGTTCTAAATAGTTTTTGTTTGTTTGATTTAAACATCTGCCACTTTATTTATTTACATTATTAGTTCACCAATTATCCGTTAGTTTAGTAATATTAAATGCATTTAGCCATGTATATAAAATGTAGTAATAATCATAGACTTATAAGTTGATATAGAACCAAATTTCATCCGTATTTCAATTTATCCCCATATATTTTTTTATCTTACATTTTCTGTGTAAGTTAGTACCAATGATATATGTCGTTTAATTTTACCTTTTTGTGTGTATAAAACACCCATAAACGTCGACCATTACAATTTTTCCAGTTTTCCATATCCATCTATGCGTTTCTTCCGATCTCCCCAGTAGAAAAACCTTCATAATTACTGCCTTCTGTTTAATTTATTAATTTTCTGTTTGTTATTTTTTAATAGTTTCCCTAAATTACTTTTATAGTAATTTTTTACCGAAAAACAGCAATTTCTAGCCCAATATGTGGGGAATAAACAATTTCCACTAGTAATAACAGGTACAACAAATGAAATGTAGAAATCCAGGGGCAGTTCTATCGGTACTTACCTGGTTAGGCTAGGCTAAGATATGATTTTTTGGGGTTTAATAAACAGAAATTAGAAAAAAATTAAATATATGCAGGATTTGTATGGTAACAAAACATTATTCATCAGAAATTCTACAATCACAATTGGTTATTATACATTTGTTTTATTACATGGTAGGCTGTGTAGGTGGAAAAGTGAGATCCCAATACCCTGTAAATAAATGACGTAATTTAATTTAAAAGTATACATAAATATACTAAACTGACCAACTGGAGTGTCATTCATAGGTTTAAATTTACTCCTGTGCCTTGAACATTTATTCATTTTTTCCTTTAATTCTTCCTCTGGCAGATCTAATGCCTCATAATACTAAAATAAAAGACACTTCAATCTCATAACTTTTCTTTAATTGTGGTGTTTACCTTTTTACAGTCCTTACATGACCAACCTTTCAAGTTCTGTCTTGCCTTGCCTCTCACTGTTTCCATTTGGTAAGCATGTTTTGGACTTGGTGACTTTTTAAACGGTATTCTAAAATTTTTAAGGAAAGATGTAGTTTAAAATTTATCTGGAAATATATGTAAAAAAATCCTGACCTCATATAATCCTCAATGAAAGATGCATATTGATCTTTATTACTTTGCTCTTTCATTTCTACACCTTTGCTAATATTAGTTTCATCATTTTTTACCTTTTCAGTTGACTGGATATTTTTTTCACAGAATTTGAATGATTCATCACCCTCCATTGTGCTGCAAATACTTAAATAATTGTTCTGTCATGATATTTTATAGAACACTTACTCCTTGAACATTTGTGTTAAAGTAATCTTTTTCAAAGTTTTATTGTTCTGTTTATTTTTTGTCAACAAATGAGTAGATAGAGTGTTGGATTTGAGTCTTTTAGTTCTTCTTAAACTTGCATTTATATCAGGTGTGCCATCAATAATTGAATTATCTGCAGTATTTAGCTTTTTTCCTTCTAAATCCATGTTAATTGTGATTTTTGGAAATGAAGAATCATTTATGTAATTTTGGTAGTCATCATATCCAGAGAAAAAGTTCTTTGCTTCTTTTGGCATATCTAGTAATGACTGACTAGTGTTTTTTGCAGTGTTTGGACCTCTCAGTTTAGGAATTTTAGCACGAATTAGTTGCTTTGCACTTTTGTTGATTTTAGGACTTACACTTCCTGATACTGGTGTTTCTGAAGAACTCTCTAAACTACCTATTTCTTTATCATCTATCTGCATTTTAAAAAAATTAAAATCTTCATTATCGCTATCCACATTGAAAATATCAGGACTCTGCAAATCTTTACTCTCTACCATGCAAATAGTTTTTGTTCTATTAGGATCCAAGTTTTCTAGAATTATATGTTGTGTTATTTATAAGATTGCAGTGTCAAATTTTATTTTTGTACCTTTGCACTCATAAGGAATCCTGTCATTGTTAAAATCAAAAAATCTGGAAATGATAATGTTTAATATATTTCAAAATGTAAATACTACCTTACTTAATATTGCCCTCAGGAATAAATTGCTGATCTGACATGCTTTTGAGAGAAGTCTTCTTCTTGTATTCTTCAATTTTCTTAAATTCCATTTCCAATTGATGTAGTTGTCCATTTGCTATATATTTAAGACCTAAATAGATGTACAATTAGTTATGAAGAAGTATATAACTTAGGCAATAATACAACCAAAATTTTAGGGTTATCTTTTATAAACTGAGTTCTAACGATTAGTTAATAAAATTTTGTACGTATTTGTAATAATTTATAGCTTCAGTGAGATACAATAAACCAATTTCTAGTAATTACTTACGGTTTAATTCTTGCTGATACGCTGTGATAATCATAGCAATTTTTCGAAGTTCTGGTATTTCAGTTGTCCATGTACTAGCTACTGGTTCAGTAAATAGCGACATCCACGCTTCTTTTGATGCTAAACCCATTTTTGTTTTTTTAAATAAAAATAAATTTTAAACAAAAATTTTAAATTATAGATGTGTCGATAATCAATGTTTGTTTACGTATTTTTAAAATATGTTCTATCCATAGGTTTTATCTTATTAATCTATGGTTCTATCATAGGGTTCTATGAAACTTAAGATTACTGCTTAAGACAGGACATGACGTCTTTCAGCTTTAGTTTCATTTATCCATCTGTGAAAAACAAAAATATATTTTCCTTTTTCCACACATCTCACACTCACCAATATCCTATCCATATTGACCCTTCCATTCCACTCTCCTACCACACCATTTTTTACACCTCTTACACTGTTCTAAAAACATATACAATTTATATCCTTTATACTCATTTCCTGTTGGCACCTAATTACTTTGGCTGCCTCTCCACAAAATGTATTTCCACCACTCATCTAGATTTCTTTGTTTTTCTTAAATCATTTCCCGTTGTCATTTCCCTGCATCTGTTCCTCAGCAATTTCTCTACATTTCTAAATTCCCTGAATCAATCCCTCACCTGTTCCCGATTGATTTGTAATATCTTCAAAGCCCTCTCTTTCCGTCGATTTTTTTGCCGTTTTTCCTATATTTTCCTCCCCCATATTTCCTTCATTATATCGCCTTCTTTCAGCCTCCCCAACGTCTCATATTTTATTATCCTTTTTATCGCTTCTTTTCACGTCTTCCCACATTTAGTCTCATTTTTACCACGTAATCTAGCTCACTTCTTTCTCACCATCACATTACATAGTATCAGTCTCCTATTCCAATCATCCTTACATAATTTATTTCTGATCTAACTTTCATAATCTTCCCAAAATTGCCCTCCCTTTAGCCACTTGCATTATATGCATTTCACCCCTTTACTGTCACTATTAGCATATATCCTAGATAAATATAATTCCTAATTTTTGCTATCTCTGCTCTCTTCCATATTATTTTGTTTTTTCCTTTGCTTTTTATTAAAACCCTTTCTACTTCCACTTTTATTACCTCTTCTCTTATCGTACGTCATTTTTAGATTTACAAACATTAAATATACTCTATTTTTTCTTCAACTGTATCTGTATCGTATCTTTAAGCATGTAAATCGCCTCCATCGTCTCTCTTCATTTTATAAAACAAAATTAGTGCCTTTTTTGAATAATTTGCTCTTCCAGCTTATTTTTTATTATTTTCGGGTATATTTTACACAACAAATCCATAATTACAATACATCCCGATAATTTTGTACATAATCCGTTTCCCCCTCTTAAATATAGGATCACACTTCCATGCTTCAGATAACTCATTCCCCTCTCATTTTCATAACATAATTTCGTAAAATTTCGCTAGTATCTACTATATCTATTGCATATTTTCATTCCTCCCCAGAAATTCCATCTAGCCCTCCCTCGCTTTTTTCATTTTCAGCGCCTCTATTCCTCTCATAACTTCCTCCCTTTCTAACCTCATCTATTCTATCTTCCTCATTTCTCCTAGTATCCCAAACTCTCTTATAACCCTCTCTTCATTTCCTTCTAATATATTTTTAAAGTGTTTTATTCATACCAACCCTTTAATCTTACCACTCACTTGTTCTTTGTTACTTTTCCTATATCTATTGATTACTTTTTAAAACGCCTCGGTGTCCCTCGACGCCTTGAAATCATTTATTAATTTTTCACTGCATTCTTCCTTGCTTATTTTAATTTGCTCTCTACACTCAAATTTTTATTTTTTATACTCTTCCTCTCCATACTCATCCTTTTTCCATCTATTCAATAAATTTTTGTACTCTTTTCTTCTCTTTCAACATTCCCCGTTCCACTATTGTTCATTCTTATTGGTTACCTTCATTTTCTTAACAATCACGGATTTTAAGGACTATTAATTAAATCGAATTTATATCTTAGAAGACTATATATAATAATAATTTGAAATTACTGCTGGTGGTAACAACAAAAGTTAGAATTAATAACAGATGAATATAATAGAATATTACAGTAATTACAAATCTCTAATAACTTTATTTCTAAATAAAAACAATAAACAAAGACACATTAAATGTAATATATCTTTTTTACAATACCTTAAACGAAAATAATGCTATTTTGACTTTACGAAAAGTTAATCCTTATTCCCAATTTCAGTTTACAAATAAAACGGTAAAGATTCAGCTGGTACATTTTGGAGCATTAATAAATCTTCCTTCTGCGGGTCGAAGATATTTCTCAGACAGACAACACCTGGGACTTGGCTTTTGTTCGGAATTAATGTAGAGTGAACGTACGTTTGTTTTATTTACATATGAAATTACATGCGGACTTTTCGTCGGGACACAAAACAAGCGTCTCTGCCCATTAGCACATTACAGTGAAAAGTGCGGCTAGCAACAATTCTTATTTTTGCGAAATTTCGTCAGAAAATCTCAAACGAGAACGCAGATGTTATGAAAAAATTGAAAATTCAAATCTTCTTCCTTTCTTTTTATCCTCATTCAAACATGCATGGTTAAAGAAAATGCCAGAAACAAATGTGGCATACAAATCTATATTCAATAATCAGCAGGAAGTGTGGCGCTTGAAAAACAACGTCAACTTCAAACTGAAAAACTGAAAATATCATCCTGAACGAACTTGGGGGAACTCTGGGGGAGGTCATATCGAATAAATTTGTGTTACATGTATATTTTAATATTTTATTATCATAAATAAGTTTTCATATTTTGAGAAACTTAAAGGTCGAAATTACTCCTTTCTGTTGTATATTTTGTTTAACATCAAAACTTATATTTGTGGGGCAGTCCCAACGTGTTGGTTGGGTGTAATTCATCATTATGGTTCTATATACTTTTATCTATAAAGTCATTTCTTACCATTCATTTATAAAGTCATCAGAAAATTCTTTCAATTTTTGTAGAATAAATTATTCTTTTTTTAATTTTAGATTTTCGTAGTGAAATCATGCAGACTTTTTTGGAGCTTTTTACCAGCGAATTATGTAAGTTTTTATGTATTGGTTTGTAGTAGTATTTTATTTTTTTTATAAATACCAGGACAGTAAAATAAATACATTCATTTTGAAAAAATTATATACCTTAGTAATTTAAATTGCCTTAAAGGGCATCTTCAAGAATTCGCCTTTACTGATGTGTTTTTTCTTTATTCCACTGTTGTTTTTTTATACTGCAGTGTACTGTTTGTTTCATACATTTTGAATAAATTTGGTCAAAAATATAAAAGTTATAACGGAATTACGTAATTGTACAATTAACATAACATTTGTATAAGTAAACTTCAGTATGACCCACGTATAATATTTGTAATGTTGGTTGTCTACGCTTGCTCCTACATCTATAAAAGATATAATTAATTTGGGTTTTCTTTTAATTCGAGTTATCTAAAAAAGTAATTACTGGTTATTGATTAATATTTATAAACCTATATTTCTTTTACTTGCATACTCAAATTAAGGCATTATATTTTGTAAAATTTCATTATAAACAAAGAACACAGCACTATATCTTTTATGCTACAATTCCTTGTTTCTTCAGGAAAAAAAGAAAATTTGAAACATTTTTACAGAATATTGCTTAAATAACAAATGAATTAATTTTAACATACGTAATTGAATAGTAGAGGAAAATGAAACATAAAATGTAGATAGAAAATTAAGTTTTTAAAGATATCAATAATAATAAAAATAATAATAAACTTTAATAATGGCGTTATTAGTTTCAGCTGGATTATTATGTAAAATTTTTAAGTTATTCCATTTGTTAATGTAATGCACAAACGTTGCGTTATTTAAAAATTTTAAAATTATTATTTTTATGTTTGTACAGTAGAACCTCCATAAGATAAAGACCAAGGGAAACGTAAAATAATTTGAGTTATTAAGGTTTTTACTTACTAATAGTTTAAGTTTAAGCTTTAAAATTATGTATTTTCAGTGACCTACATAACTCTTCAGCTTTTGCCTTTAGTATAAGTCCACTAACACTAATGTTTTTACATATTTCTACACTATCTAAACCATGTAAAGAAGCATTTTTGTAAATTAGGAAATTTAGCAATTCTTAGTCTTTTACATAGAAGACTTTCTCCCGATTCAAACCACTTTTCACTTATTTCACATATCTTTTATTTCTCTTCATTTAACAACCACTCTTTATAACGCCGAAAAATGTTCAGTTCCTTAAGTGTCGTTATATAGAGTTTACACTGTATTTGTAGGGTGGAAAACAAAAGAAAATTGAAACTGTTACCTATATTAAGTACATCCATACAGCTATTATATAACTTTTATTATTTTGATTTTTTCGCTAAATCTTTTATTTATTATTTCACTAGATGTCATTGTAAGTTCAAAGTTTCATGTCGTCAAATCGGACAGCTTCAATATTAAATATACAGACGCTATAAAAATTAAATTGCAAATGTAATCGTACTGCTCTGCACTTTAATGTGAACGAAGGATAATTAATTATTCGTTTCTCTTTCCATCGTTGTCTTTTCTCTTCGAATACATCCTCCGTTTCAATAAAAGGAGTTGGTTCATTAATCCGAATTCAGAGCAAATTAGTTTTCCTGTACAATGGGTCCGTTCATGAGTAATTTTGCGAAAGTACGACGGCGACTACGTATTAGGTATTAGACGCGTCTGCTTGGAGCTGTCTAGATTGCAACTGTGCACTTAAATGTACGTGACTTAGTATCGCTAATCGCATCTTATTCGTTCCAATCAAACTAATCTATTTGCTGACTGGTTAGGTATTTGTTGTGATAAACAGACAAGTTCTCTTCTATTTTTTTATTCGCCCTCCTAGACATGTTGAAATGAGTGTTTTTGTTTGAATTTTAAAATTCTACTTGAAACAATCAATTAGTTCACTCTAGATCAGGGCTTCTTAAACTTTTTTCATTCACGACCCCATTTATGATTGCGAGTTTCCTGGCGATCCCATATAAATATAAAAGAAAGATAAATAAAATTAAAAAAAAAAACAAATACACATCTAGATGTTATAAAATCGTATATTTAAATATTTGACATTAAAATTTCTCGCGATCCCAGAACAAATGGGGTCGCGACCCATAGTTTAAGAAGGCC